GTCCTACCTTTGCACTTGAGCTATCTTCTTTCCATAAAGAATTGCAGTTTTTCCCAGAAAAATAATGCTGAAAACTTTTCATAGTTTAGTGTGTTTCTAAAAGGAAAAAAATTGGCAGGAAAAGACATGGTCTTCACAGCTTTATTAATGTACCCACCATCATACATCACATAGCATAGTGCTTCTAGAGAAACTTTTATCATTTATAGTTCCAGCCACAAAACCTTTCAGCTATGTTGAAAGCTGAGCAGAAAGTGAAGTGACATAAGAAAAGCTGAACAAACTACTGAAAGCAAACAAGATTTTTTTTCCTTTTTCTATATGTCTCTGAACAGACCTGCACTTCTTAAAAAGTGTGTTGGTTTGATTTTCTGAATGAATTGCAGTTCATTTTGGATCTCCCAGTATTTCTTCTTCTCTTGGACTAGGTAATTCCCCAAAACATTTTCAAGATGGCTGCTAGGACATGTTTGCATGTTACCAACACTCAGAGTTAATATTCTTGTGGAAAAGAGGTGGCTTGGATGGGTATTTGTGGGATTCAAAGAAAATGGCTGATACATACCCTTTAAACAAATTTACTCTTTGCATGAGTACAGTGTTTGAGAATAATCCTTTGTAAAAAAGAATCCTTTAAAAAATGGAGTTATTTATAAATTATTCTAAAGTTTTATAGAACAAGACTTTAGGAAACAATGTTCTTTCTGGAGGTGTCTGATTTGTAATAACAATTGGACTGGATGATAATTACTATATTCTGTAGGATCATTTAGCAGAAAATTCATAGAGGGAAAAAATTATTTGGGGCTGTATTTACTCAGCTCAAGAGCTTGGGGTTTAGCTGCATTTATCCTTTTGCTCTGCCTGCCCCACCTTTCCAGCAGGTTGCCTTCTCTCTGTTTCATTGTGGCTGCTTCTGCCGCACCCACATTCAGGTAGTTGGTTCCATCAGCTCTGTCATCCTCTACTGCTGTCATCCTACATTTTTATAAACTCCTTTTCCCCATAATCTGTCTTATTTCTTCTTCTTCCCCCCCCCCAAAGAATTGATCATATATCATAGAATGAATTCTTAGGATATAAGGATGAGACAAGAGGATTTACCAGGCAGAAGAGTGGGACCGGACAAAAAGTGATACGCTGTCATTCTTAAAATGGAGCAGACAGAATTGGGAAAGAACAGATATTGGTTTTAAGCTGTATTTAATACCAAACAACCTTTGTTATAACTTGATTTTACTTTTTCCCCACAATGTTTTTCTTAAAGTGTTTTGACTAAGATTACCAAATTATTGCCAAATAGGCTTATTTGTTGCTTTCAAACCAGGCCTGTTCCTGTAAGCACGATGCATGCTAGACCTCCTCATGGCTTCATTGGGCACTCTGACTCCTGAGTTCTCATGAAATCATATTTACCCATGCAAATACAACTAAAGACTTTTGCTCACCGTCGCTGACACAGGGCATTCATATCAGAACCCTTGCACCTGATGCAAGGGGACACATCAGAGTATTTTAGCTTGCATTTTGTTGTGTTTCAGAGTTTTTAAAATCCTTTTTAGGGGGGATGATGTAGCAAATCTCACTGTTTCATATCAAAAATTCCTATTGCAGTGGCTGAGACTTTTCTGGTAAAAGATGTGGGTGTATGGTTAGTACCACAGTGGGATCAGTGACTTCATCTCTCTATGGCAATGGAAATTGTGATGCTGGCTGAGCAATGAAAACCCAGATTGACATTGAAGAACAAATGTGATTCATCACTAATTTATCCCCAGGTGTTGAGATGAAGCATATTTAACTTGTGTGCAAATCAGTATATTTTACAAATATAGATTTACAGAGCTTGAAAATTAATTTTCACTGTTATCTAATTTCTTCTTTGTGATTGCTTTTGCTTGCCCAGTCAAGAAGCAGGTGACCAATCAGGTATGAATTGCCAATGGCTAATGAAAACTAATCTAATGAATAGTTCGTAAATAACCCTTAACCTGAAAGCTGCTTTTCTAGAATATCTGATAATTTCTTAAAAATCAAAATGTGTTTTGCTTGGTTTGATGATTATACATATACATATTTATACATGCACAACTGACATGCCTTGTATAAATAGACAGATATCCAGTTTCAGGCATTGATATTTGAACAACTGCAGTTTGGGTGAACAGCAACTGAGGAATTTAGCACAGATTAGCACAGTTAAACAAGATTTCTGCAGTTATAAATTGACGATGTAAAGTTTCAGAAATTTACTCTTGGTATTGACAGAACAATTGGGACTAATCTGTCTAAAGCAGCTACTTTAATTTTTTTCAGATGACTAGCTCTTGTTTTTTGTCGGTCATTTCAGTCTGATTATCTCTTTCATTTTAAACATTTTAGTATTAGAGATTTTCTAATAAGAAGTTGTTAATTGCTAAAAAAATAGGCTGCAATAATAAAACACAATTCACTAAAATTTTGTTTCCATTAGCTAAGATTTCTCTTGGAGAATTGAAATGTTTGCTGGATCTCTAGTCATTGTGCAGCATTTACCACGGAAAAACCTCTGTATTTAATGGTTGGACTTAAGGAAATAAAAGCATCTCACACAAATAGACATGTGAGATAGAAGTTATTAAACTGTTTTGATAAAGTCATACGAATATACTAAGAGGAAGTGAATCACAAAAGCAGATTCAGTTTTCTGCATTTCAGTTTAGGATTTTTAAGCAACAGGAGGTTTTAAGAACCATGTAGATGGAAACACTTTAGTAAAACCTGCCCTATCTGAGTTTTTTTTGTATTGTTTTGCAGGTTTTTTGTTCGTTTAATTAGAGTCTTTAATATGTTTTTGCATTTTAAACCTTTTGCAGACTCCGTGGATTGTTTCTTACTGTTACAGAACATTCAGCTGCTGGAAATACACTTTAATTTGAAAGCGTTGTTATTTTCAGAGGAGCATCTCTTGCAGCCTTACAGATTGATACATAAAGACTCTAACAGGAGCTGGTGTGTATTTTAGCATTAAAAGAAGTCCTGAAACGATAATATAAAATACTTGAACGATTTGAAATAAAAGCCAAAAGCGTAGGTTTGTACTGTTTTCAAAGCAGGAGTCGAAATTCGAAAGAGCGTCCCTAATTTTGAAGCGAAATAGGAAGACTGCGGTAGTTTGATGAGGACTCCCGCAAACACCTGGACCCGGTAACGCAGCACCTGGAGTGGCGGCGGACGACACAAAGGTCTGATCTCCGGGAAGGTAGAGGAGGAAAACAGAATCTCCCGCGTTTCGGGTGCCCTGCTGGCAGCGACGGCAGAAACATCTTTTCCGCCAGTGCCTGCAACGGTTCCAGCGGTGTCCGCTCCAGCCGCGCTCCGCGGGGCAGCGCCCGCCCTGGCTGCGCCGGGGCCCCGCCGCATCGCAACAAAATCTGCTGCCAGCGGCACGGCGGCGGCCCCGGCTAGGTGGGCACCACCGCTGCGGCAGCTTCTCCGCCCGCTGGCGGGTGGGAGCGCCGGGGGGACGCGCCGTCTGCCCGAGGAGCGCCATTCCCTCCGCTCCGTCCAGGTACCTGCGGCGAGGAAGCCGCGGCCGCGCCGTCCTCCCGCGGCGGGGTGGCCCTGCGGCGTGTGCTGTCCCCCTCAGTCCAGCCCTGCAGGCGCCCCCCGCGCTGGCGGTAGGCGCCGTGGTGCCCGAGGGAGCTGCCAGCCTGGTGCTCGGGCAGCGGGCACTGAGCCCCAGCGCCCCTTCCGAGGGCGGGGGAAGCCCCGCTGCCCGGCAGCTGCCCGCCGGGCGAGGGGAGGCGACGGCTGGGCACGGCGGCCCCCGCCCAGGTGAGCTCCGCTGCCTGCACGGGCGACCCGAGTGATGAACGATGCTCGCCCTTTCCCGGCGCTGACAGGGCTGCGGGGCGAGGCTGTCCCAGGAGGGCAGCCGGCGGAGGGCTGCCCGCAGCCCGGGGGCTCCGTCGCGCTCATCAGCGGCGCGGGGCGTCAGCTCTACGGCGCCTGCCGTCCCGCCCAGCCCGAAGAGATTGCCCCGGCCGGGCTGAGGGGAGCCCCGCTGCCGATTGGCGACGCCAGCCCCCTTTCCCCACTGCCGGAGGTGAACTCTGGTGGGCTCGGACCTCTCTGCCCGCCTCTCGACGGCCGCTGGCGCCCAGGACAGAGGGAGTTTAGGGTGAAACGAAATACGCAGGGCCAGGGCTTTCAGCGCGGTCCTCGGGTCCGCTCCGATTTGAGCCCGTTTTCGGGCTTCCCTTGACCGGCCGTTCTCCCGGCGGCTGCCCCGCTGAGGGACTCGGTAGCGCTGCCCGCCGAGGCGCCGTGCAGGCGGGACGGGCGGACTGCGCCCGGGCTGGCGGGGCGAGGCGGCGGCGGCGGGGTGTTCCCCCGACGGGGGCTGCGGGTCGGGACCCCAAATGCCAGGCGACATCAGCGCGGGTGCTGGGTGGCGGCTGGCCGCTGCGACAGGCTCTCTGACGAGCAGCGGCTCCTTTGCCGGCGGAGCAAGGCCGGTGGCAACCCCAGGGCCAGGCTGCACCCGAAGGAAGGGTCTGCGACGGCCCCTCGGGGGGCCGGAGGGCTGGGGCTGAGGGCTAGGTGGCTGCTAGTGTGCCAAGTTGTGGGGAGAGCGGGGAGAGGGCCGAAGGAAACACGTGTGATGGGGAGGGACTGTTCCTCTTCGCATAGGAACGGTGTTGGATGTCCCACAGAAACGGAGGGGCAGTTCTGTGGCGTCTCCATTCCAGGCACCGCAGGGCGTCTGCCTTTTGATCTCAGCGGCTGGAAATATACGTTTAAAATAATGAGACCGCATAGGGAGGATCTTTTCCTCGTGTCTCTCCCCGCGTTCCCTTTAGGTAACCGCTGTGCCGTAGTTCCCGTGTGCGCGCCTGGCAATGAGAGGATGGGAGGGAGGAAGGCAGACTGGGAAGCGCTGGCTCCGCCAGTGGGCGTTTTCTGGCGGCCGAGGCTGGTGCTGGAAGCGGCACTGCAGTGATTGTATCTGCCTCTTTGCAGGCGAGCGCGCACATACGGGGCAATATTTGCCTCGCTCGAAGAAAATACAGATTGTTGCCGTTTTCTTGCTCTGAATGCGAGGTGGGAGCATGGGGAAAAGCGGACTTTAAAAGGGGATTGGAACCGTTTAGCGGTCAGTAGCTCCCTGTCCCCTCCGGCCTAAAGGGGGAACGGAAATGTGAGGATTTTATGAGGGCGGGGAGCCAGGGTGCGAAGAAAATAGTGCCCGGGGGTTGCCGGAGGGAACGAAGGACTGATCCGCGGTAACCCTTGCTTTGGCTCCGTCCTTTTTCGGCTTCCCCTTTCGCTTTAGTCCCGTATCTCTCCTAGGCGTCCTGCCTTAAACTGCCGCGAAAGGGAGGGAAGAGCGGAAGCATGTCCAACCCGGAGAAGCGGATCTTATCCCGCCCCTCGGCCCCCCTGGCTGCAGCACTCGGGGAAAAGCTCGGCTCCGGCAGCCGCCCGCTCCATTCCCATGGCCAGAGCGGTGGAGGTGGAGGCAGCGGCGGGTCTCCTCCTCCTCCCCCCGCTCCTGGAGGCGGCTCGGCTGCCTACAGCTCCCTCTCTGTCCTCCTAACAACCACCAGCAGCAGCAGGAGCCGCGCTGAAGGGACAGCCTTTTCTGCCGTCTCCGCCAGCATCGTCTCCAGAGCGGCAGCGGCTCCTTTCCTCGCTCCAATCCCCTCCTTTTCCTCCGCTTCTCCATCTTCTTTTTACTTCTTGCCGCCGCCTCCTCGTTTCCCCTCCTCGTTTTCCTTTAACCTCACAAGTCTCCAAGGGAGGGAGGGAGGAGGAGAGGCAGCGAGAGCGGCAGGAGGAGGAGGAGGAGGAGGAGGAAGAGATGTTGGCGGAGCAGCAGCAGCAGCAGCAGCTCACTTGATCGCCCATCCAGGCGGCAGCGGCAGGAGGAGACTCTTCTGTTCTTCCTCCATCCAGGGCTTGCTGCTCCGTTCCGCAGCCGGCGGCCCTCGGCAGCACCACTCCCGGCCCCTCCTCTCCCCAGCCGCCTCTCGCCCGTGGTCCTGCAATTCCCTCGCTGCAGCAGCAGCAGCAGCCCGCGGCGACGGGATCCGAGGAGGCGACGGCCCCGGCGGGAGCAGGACTCCTAGGCGGCAGCAGCGGCAGAGAGGCGCCTTCTTCTCCTTCTCGTCTCCCCTGCTCCTAGGGCCAGACATGGAAGATGGATCTAATTCTGCAAGCTGCTTTAGGAGGTTTACGGACTGTTTCTTGAATACAAGTAGGTACCCGCTGTGCCCGGCGGCGGGTCGCGCGTGTCTCGGGGGAAGGCGAAGGGCTGTGTCCGAGGCTGGGTGCATGCCTCGTGGAAAGGGCATTTCTTTGTGAGTGGGGGGGAGGCGAGGACACAAAGGGGCCGTATACGTGGGGCGTGCGTGGACGCATGGAGGAGCGGCCGGGTGTGTATTGAGGATGCACGGACAAAGGGGATGCTCAGTGCAACTGAATGTTCTTTGTGGGAGCTGGCTGTTAACGCCTCGAGGATTTCGGCATCATTCCGGGATCAGACAACTCAACGTATATGTATGTCAGCCCTTTACTTGGTACATGCTTAATTTGCTCAGGAATGACACGTAGGGGATTGGGGACTGTCCCCCCTACTTACTTGAAGTAACAATAAGGAAGCATTATGGTATTGGCAGTTGACAGAAAAGCGGCGACGGAAGATCGAAAAGGGTGAAAGGGATCGCTTCTTTCTGCAATCCCCCGCCAGATCTGCCACGCGCGGTCACATTCCATATTTCTGATCCGGCTTTGGTACCGGGTGCCGCCTTCCACTGGCCGTGGCTCGTTGTAAGGCGGGCCAGGAGCCGGAGAGGAAACATGTGCTCCTTGCTACTGGGGGGTTGGCGCTGGAACGGGGGTAGTGACCGGCTGGTGGGGAGGGCGGAATAAAGGGGGCACTGAGGCGCTCCGTACAGGGCGCCCCGCAGCCAGCCGTTCCCAAACCCTTGCCGGCTCCCACCGAGCCCGAACGCGGGGAAAGGGCGCGGGGCCGCGCTCTTGCCGTGCCGGGAGACGGGAGTGGGGCCGGAGCTGCCGCTCGGCCTCCTCTTGGTGAGGAGCTCGGCGAGTGCCCTCCCCGTGCTGACCGGGGGAGTCCGGCGGGAGCGGCCCGAGCCCCGAGGCGGGCTGTGGGAGCGGAAAGGAGGGCTTCGCACGACAGAAACTCCCCGTTCTCGGGGATGCGGCCCGGCTCCCCCTCGAGTGTCTCGCCCCGAGCCTCCCGGTGCCGCCAACCCCGCTCCGAGGCGCTTCCCTGACACGCCGCGTCCCGCAGGGTGGGCGCCCCCGGGGCTGGGGCGGCCCTGGAGCGCCCGCAGCTTGGGGCCGAAACCTCCCGGGGTCGGGCTACCCGTGCCCCACCGCCAGGAAGGGAAATGTGCTGGGTTTCAGTGTGGTCATGGGACGAATGAATTTCCAAGCGGAGCGTGTTATCTGGGCAGAAATAATATTTTTATTTTATAAAAAACTTTTTTTCTTGCCCAGTATTTTGATGCTTAGGTGACTTCAATTAGCTGCGGCTATTTCTTTCTTTTTGTGACAGTTCCTTAATTAGTAGATATATGTCTTAAAGTGTCCCTAGACTTGCATTTTAATCTTTTAGTATACTTTGACAAAGGTGGCTTTTTGGATACAGGTGAATCGTATATAGTTCACACATGTATGCATTTTGGGTGTGTGTGTGAAGAACTATAGAGATGTTCGCTGAAATCTCATTATTTGTCTTATTGTCTTACAGCTGTCTTTAGCACAAGAGCCTGCAGTTGTGGTAGTACTAGTGTTCCACGGTAGAGGTGAATAAAAATGATTATATATTTGCTACACTGTCTTTTTGAAACTTTATTCAATAGTTGATTGTGTTACAGAGCCACATACTTGTTTAGTCTTGAGGCCTGAAGGGAATCCTAAGCTCTTGTAGTTTTAATTTTCTCTGTGTTTGAGGGGGGTAGAATGCTGCCATGCATGTTTCAAAATAAGTGGTCTTGGGAGCAAGGGACCAAGCCAGGGAATGTGTGTCATGTAGGGCAATTCACTCCTATGCTAGATTAGGAAAAAGATGATGTGGAAAACATCGTCTCTGTTCAAAACAGCTTTAAAAGTAGTGGTGAATTCAACTTAAGCTATTTTATGAACACTTGAACACAACGAACTTGGTCATCTTTCACTGATTGTGACCTCTGACTGAAGATTTTCCGGCAGGCAGGAAAGGAGCAGAACTATTCTTTCCCCTGTGAATTTACTGACGTCTAAGAAGACATGCAGCCTCTCTCTCTGTGGAAACACTTTTCCATGTTCTGCAGCCTGCTGTCATGCAACTTTCAAGAACTTAAATGTCTTATATCTCTACCCCTCTCTTGAATGTGATTGAAATCGGCCAATGGGCTCAAAAGATATTAGTGAGATCAGATAGACACACATCCACATGCGTATGTACATATGTGGACACCTCCCTCCCTCCCCGAGTGATTGCATAACTCTGATTTCCTTAGGAAACCAGGCTGAAAGAAGGAGTGGAGGGAAGTTAAACAAGATACTATTCAGATCCAGTGAAGCTACTGCAAAGAACACTTGTCAACTGTTTGGAGTACTGTGCACAGTGCTGGTTACAGTGCAGCCGGAAGGCTGTCATTGTTTTGAAGAGGATGAAATCATGTTAAATAATGAAGATAATATTCTGCATCTCATAGGTTTTGTTTCCTAAACCATATTTAAGTTCTAAATCATACTTATATACATATATACATTTGACTTTAAAGACAAAAAGAAGTCTAAATATTTTCGCAGAGAAACTGGGGAGTTCTGTAGGGAACAGAATTGAGATGAGCCCTTTTGGAAAGGAGATTTAAAAGTGACATAACAGAATCCTTTCCAAGAGTGGGAAACAGTGAAATTGCTGGAGAGGTATTCTTCTTTCACCTCTGAGCTCTTTTGACTTGTGAGCTCTCCAGTCAGGATTTTGTTAGAAGATTCTTCATATTAAAATTTTAGATTCTGCAATACACAGTTTGTGCCATATCTGACTCATTTAGTTTTCAATATTCCCAACGAAGCACTGGACTGCAGAAGCTTATATGAACTTTGTGTGGTGTGAGTTTTTTCTTAACTGTTTAAAATCTTGGTGCATAACATGGTGTCTTAAGAAACTTTTAGTATCGAACATCCTGGATCAATAGTCCAGTGGAGTTCTATCATACTTAGGATACTGCAAGTTACCAGATATCCAGTATTTCAGGTTTCTGGGAAATGTCTTACATTTAGGGGAGCATCACATCTTCCTTCTATGTTCAAAGTCTCTAAAGGTGCACGTATAGAATATGTCATCTGTGCGACAGTGTGCCATGAGTCTACTGACAGGTATGAATATTTTACAGTAAGCTGGCTTTCTGCTTGTCAGAAAATTATCAACATAATGTTATTTTATACAGTTACCTTTTTTTCTGACTTTTTTCTGTTTGTTTGTTTGAGATGCAGCAACTTTATCCTATACCTTCACATGCCAGATGCTAAGACTTTCTGATTAAGTAGTACTTTAGGAAAGAATGGATGTAGTAAGATCTGTAGTTCTGGAAAAAAATAGCAATTAAAGTTTAAATAAAGTTAAAATTATTCCTGTTACCTACACTACTGGGAAAGTTAATCTTGGCTTGATTCTCATTTTTTTCTGATATATGTATTCATTTTTTGCAGTCAGGGTGTTTTAAGCCAAATGCTTAAAAAAAAAAAATTCAGCGATGAATCCCTTATGTAAAGGTGGACAGGGTTTGGTTGTACAATTAGATCATGCTTAAAATGTAGATGATATAAAAAAATTTCATCATGATCTAAAAAGTTTTCAACCCACGGATTCTGGCTCTGGGTTCATTGAAAGCAAAATTGTCATTTAAGTGGTATATAGTTAAGTGGTGTCATTGAGTGGTTGCCATCAGGACTGGTGTTTCATAGTATCACATTTTGCTTTAGCATATAGGAATACCATATATCCTGGTCTGCAGCACTGCCATTCTGTTTAGTGGGATAACAGAAAAATATATAGGGCAGACGGCAAGGAATGGCATGGAAAGGGAATGAAAACCATGTAAGCACAAGCAGGTAACAGTGAAGAAGGGCTTCTTTGTCCAAGTCAGGTGTTTTTGCAAATGGTTGTCTATAAGACATGCAGTTTACATTTGAAATAACTAATTCTCTGTCACTTTGACTCCTCAGCTCTGCTGCCCGTGTTTGCCTGATGGCTTGGGGTTACTTAGCACTCATAAGCCTTGAGAAAGGAGAAGACACCTTCACTGTTAACTAGTAGCCTTGCTCCTGTAAAAGGGACTGCAGAAGGTGTGATTATGCACACTGGGATAGTGTAGGTGAGTTGGTAAATGGTTTATTTCTGCCACTTGTGTGAGGAGGATGGCAGCTCATTTGTGATTCTAGCACAAGGCTGGCAGCTCCATTGAGCCCATTTGTGTCCTTTTTCCCTTTGCTCATGTTTAAGCCATACGTATCAGCTGGATACAGCGAAAAGTGAAAACCTGAAACAAAAAGATGGGGTTTTATTTGGCATATATATGACTTAGTGACTTGATTTTGAAACAGTCGTGTAAATGTTTATTTCCACTGATGATCCAGGGCATATACTTGGCTGACTTGCTTTTATATTGTCTGTTGTACAGATCAGTACAACAGTAACTTTTATTTAGTTTTAAGATTTTATGCTGTATTCTGATACAGCTAGAGCGTGCCTAACATTCTCTCAGCATTATCAAATCAATAAGTCAGTTTTAGATTCAGAAAATTAAGAATGAGAGTCTGTGAATGAATGGATTTATAACTTGGAAATGGCTTATGCAGCTTGTTGGTTGATGTTAACCTTGCCTGTGTTTAAAATCATATTTCAATTTGAGTCTAGTATCAGCTCAATTTTTAATGCTACTTTAAAAAATATTTTAGTTTCAAGTCATTAATACTTTAAAATTCAATTTTTTTTACAATATTCTAATTTTTGCACTGCTGGCACTGTTATCATATTTTAAAAGAAAGCTAAAATCATGAGTAAAAATATATAAAAAGAAAAGAGCTGTTTGAGTTTTTTTTAATTGTTTTTATACTCCCTCTGCTGGCTGTTTCAATTACAAGTACCTGTACTCAAACATTTTTACTAAATCTGCTCTTCCTTTTACTGTTTTATCAAATAAGCAGTAAAGTGTATTGATTTCAAGCTGTATTTAAATT